CATCTATAAAAATAATATATAATTATATGTTAAACTGTATTTATGTATGTTAACTTTACATGTATTACGGATGAGTGTAGCAGCTGGTTTTTTATTCATTCTCTCAAGTGCACTAGCTAATGATTCCCAAGTACGATTATTAGCTGAAGTCAACCACAAGCTCAAGCACTCCAGTAAACACTGAGAAGGATCAGTAAATCTAGCTCTGATGTTTGCCAGGCCAGGATAAGGTAGGTTCAATCCCATTCCTAACTCAAACCAGTCAGCATCAATGAAGTGACTTTCTTTTAAGACATCAGACACCAACTTCATATGACTGATATCTATAATACACACAAACAGTTGGTAATATCCGGGCACCTACAGTTACTAGACCATACAAAGTAGTCTGGACCCCCCACTTCACTAGCTGGTACCAGAATACATGCAATCATTTATCAGTCCCTCTGTCTCTATTAAGGGCTTACCTAAACGAAACACTCTTCTACTAGCCATTGCCATTGAGCTGCTCTGCTTGGTACCAGGAATGCAGCAAGCCCTATTGTGTGGGTGTAGACCATGTAGAATGTCGGCGGGGCCGCGGGCGTGGTTAATATTCTATTAATTAACTAACTATAACTAATGAGGTACTTATGTTAAAACTGGTCATAGAGACTGTCATTAATCAGGGTTGCCAGATCATGAACAAAGTTCATAGATTTATGAACTTTTCAACCTTGGCATGAACTTTTCATGAACTACTTTTTTCATGAACTTTTCATGAACTTTTGAGAAATTTTCTAAACTTTGCAAATTCAATGTTTGAGTAGCTTTAATGCCATTATCTTTGCAATATCAGTGTTTTGTTCTCAAAATGAGCCATCAGTATAATCATTTCAGCAAGATTTCAGTGATAAGCTGAAAGTTATAAAATAAATTATTACAGTTATTAAGTAGTTATAAAAGTTAATTTTAGTGGTTATTAAACTTAAGTAAGTAGTTATCGGTAGTTATTAACCTGTGGTTGCAAAATTTTGAAAAACATGAACTTTTTTGTGAAAATATGAACTTTTTGACAAAATTTTGTGAACACTGTCAACACTGTCATTAATATTAAAATAGGTATATACTGCTGAACATAATAATAATCTGTATAGTCAGTCACCTTTTCTCTCTCTCTTCCTTCAGGTGAAGTGAAAGGTTTATTTGATAGTTTACTGTTTAGGATTAAAGTCCCATGACCTGTACATTACTGTACAGTTGGATCAAGAGGAG